CCCGCCCCGTTGCCATCCCTATTGCTACCTCTCCAATATAACACGAACACTTTTAAAAACATTCAAAACTCTGCATTCATTAATGAACTTGTACCCTTTTGAATAAAGAGTGTTCAAGGAGATAAGATTTCTCTTCAAATATGGAACGTGACTCAAGTCATCAAGTGTTATAACTGTTTAATCCAATATCTTAAGTCTAACCCTTTGACCTACCATACAAGGTGCATTGTTTCACATAACCACGACACCTTTCGAAACTTCTTCATATGTTGAAAACGAATATCGATTGAGACACATATGAAAAGTGCAAGTTAGATCAAGAATCCAATTCTCATCAAGTTTGGAGTAGCCTTTAGAAATAACCAAAAGTTCTCCATCATTGTAGCAATTTTCTTCAATATTTGCAAGTGAACTTAATAGATCAATGAAACCCTTCTAATTTGCAGCCAATTTTTCTTTATTCTGCAACTTGTAACAATTCTTCTTAATGTGCCCATTTTTTCTTGCAATAGTTACAAATTTAATTATTGAAGTTAAACTTTGATATGCCCCTCTCGTAACCACTATGAACAATAAGACCTTCTTGAGCCTCAAATCCAACAAGATGTTTCATCTTCTTATTTGAAAACAATGCATCATATACTTCTTCAACGGTGAAAGTATCACGACTAAATAATACCATGTCTCTAAAATATATATATAAAGCAAGCAATGAACACAACAAAATCAACCCCAAATCCTCTTCATCATATTTAACCTCCAAAATTACCAAATTAGTGACAATTTCTTTAGAGACTGCAACGTGATTTTCTAAGAATGTGCCTTCTACAATATGATGAGAATACAAATATTGTTTCATGTACAATTTGCTAGTTAGACTCTTAATCATGAACAATTGCTCCAACTTCAACCATAACGTAGCTGCGGTTTTCTCATTCGAAACGTCCCTAAGAATATGATTTGAAAGATGAAGAGGAATATGTGATATGGCATTTCGATCCTTACGCTATTTCTCCACCAATGACCAATTTGAAGGTATTTTGTCAAATCCCAACAAAGCGTCATCAAAATCTATCTGAATGAGTACTACTCACATCTTCACCTGCCATAATAAAAATCTAGTGCTGCGATTTAAAAGCAGAATATCGTACTTCATGGTTGGTATTACCAGAACAAAAA